GGCGCCGAGCCAGTTCTTCTAATTTTCAAACAACCAGGCCAGGCACAGTGGCTCATGCTTGTAATCCCAGCACTTTGGAAGACCAAGGTGGGAGAATCTCTCAAGCTCAGGAGTTTAAGACCAGCCTGAGCAAGAATGAAACCCTGTCTCTCCTAAAAATAGAAAAACTAGTTGGATGTTGTTTTGGTTGCCTATAGTCTCAGCTACTTGGGAGGCTGAGGCCAGAGGACCACTTGAGCCTAAGAGTTTTAGGTTGCTGTGAGCTGTGGTGATGCCCTAGCACTCTGTCTCAAAATAATAATAATAATTATTTTCAGGGCTTGGCGCCTGTATGTCAGTGGTTAGTGTGCCAACTACATACAGTGGGGCTGGTGGGTTCAAACCTGGCCCAGGCCTGCCAAACAACAATGATAACTACAAAAAAAAAAAAAATAGCCAGATGTTGTGGTGGGCACTTGTAGTCCTAGCTACTTGGGAGACTGAGGCAAGAGAATCACTTAAGCCCAAGAGTTTGAGGTTGCTGTGAGCTGTGATGCCATGGCACTCTACCGAGGGTGACATAATGAGACTGTCTCAAAAAAAATAATAATTTTCAGGAACAGAAATTACAGAGATATGAACTGTCTTACAACACAGAGAAGAAGGGAAGGCTTCCTAAATTATTTTGGGAAGGCAGATAACCAATGATATAAGGACACCATTATTTTTTTTTTTTTAATTTTGCTTTCAATTTCAGCTGGCTTTCACTCATCTTAGGTTGAAGTTCTTTTCCTTAAATTCTTTTTCTTTCTTCCTTGAAATTGCTCATTCATTTACAATGTATATATAAATAGACAATATGGGGAAATACTGGGGCAGTAATCATATACTGACTACCACCAAATATCTCTGGCCCAAAACTCTTCCTGAAATCCAGATGTGCACATCTGAGTGCCCATGTCATGGCATCTCCATGTGGATGTCTCTCAGCAGCTCAAACTTCACAAAAACATAAAGCACTGATTTCCCTGCCCGCCCCCCATAGACACTCTTCCTCCATTGTCCCTGTCTCAGAAAATGGCCAGTGTACCTTCTGGTAGACCAAGACAGAAGGCCTGGATTCATTCTTGGCTCTTCTGTGTCATTCCTGACATGAGCCCTCAGGGCTCATGGAAGTTCCTGCCAGCTGCTTTCCCTTCAGAATCTGGCCTTCTCTCTTCTTGCACCTTCCATCCTGATATCACCCTGTGCCTGGACCATTCCTGAGCCTCCACAGGCTCTCCAGTCCATACTTCCTCTACAGTTCATTCACTGTACCAGTGAGAGCCTGTTCCTGGAGTCAGACCCTGTCTCTGTCCCAGTGTAGAAGAGGCGAGAAGATGCTTGAGTCCAGGAGTTGAGGTTGCTGTGAGCTATGACACCATGGCACTTTACCAAGGGCAACAAACTGAGACTCGTCTCAAATAAACAAATAAAAATTTAAAAAGACATCTCAGCAGGCACACTGGTGCTGGTGTGTGTGTGTGTGGTCCTCAGCTCCTCATGCAGACCCACCATAGAGGCTGCTTGAGCATTCTCCCACCATGGCTGTTGGTGGCCAGCATCCTTCCAGAGTGATCTTAGGATCAGTGTCTCATATGACCCAGCCCCATTAGTTGCATACTGTCATTCCCATAGCATCCTCTTGGTTATTCTGTGAGAAAGGACTATACAGAGGCAGCCTGCCACAAGCGGGAGCAGTCCCAGTACCAGTGAGAGTCTCAGTGTTCTGCCCAGACATCCCCAGCCTGCCGCCCCCCTCCCACTCTCACTCCCCTTCAGCCCCTCTGCTGGCCCTGCCACTCACTATGTCCTGGCCCTCTGCTGCTCCCTCTGCTGAGGGTATTTTTCCCTGGGATATGGCCTTGTACTCACCTCCTTTCAGCTCTTTGCTCTAACGCTGCCTGGTCAGGGCTTCCTTCCTATTGTGGACATATAGTAGGGTACATTGCACCCATGCACCCATGTTTACACACACCCAGGAAGGCTGTGTTCTCATCCTCTTGTCTTCTACATGCTCGCTCATTCATGCTGACAGTGTGATGTGTGCACTGCAAGTTTGGGAACTGTTCTCTTCTCTAGTGTGTCCCCAGGGCCTGCACCAGTGCCAGGCATTCAGTAGGGGATCAGCAAGTATTTCTGTGATGAAGGACTCAGTGAGTCACAGCAAGAGGCATAGTCTTGTGCAGCTTAGAGTCTTATGTCAGATGCCACGTATCCTGTGCAGTGTACATCACATGGTCCTAATACGATGTGACCATAACCACATGTAAAACACATCAATGTGCAGACTATAATTAACAATCAGCATTGCTGTTCCTTGTCTAAGGGAAATGCTGACATATTTAGTCTTGTCTTTTACCTTATTTTAACAAACATTTCAGGTTCAGCACCTGAGGCTCAGAGGCTAGGGCGTCAGCCACATACACTGGAGCTGGTGGGTTCAAACCCAGCCCAGGCCTGCCAAACAACAATGACAACTATAGCCAAAAAATAGTTGGGTGTTGCAGCGGGTTCCTGAAGTCAAAAAAGAACCCCCCAAAACAAATACTTTATACCACTATTAAAATCAGAAAAGTCAGTTTAAAGAAGAAAACTGTCCCCTCCAGTCACCTGTGACTCTGTGATCACCCACCTCAGGAAACAGGAGTACCTATTACCTTAGAGGCATTTAATAAATAGCTCAGTGACAGGCATATGCCTGGGCCTGGGGCTGTTCTTCCAGTGATGACATGACTGGGTGTGTTATGAACTTCCTTCCGCGCAGCATGGTCTGGCTTTTCTGTTCTTCTGTCCCCTTTTGCTTCCTCATGTCTCTGGAGCTTCTTCCCTCATAGCAGCTCTGGAATTAGGGAAGCCAGTGGCGTGTTGACTTGGCGACAGAGGTTCTGTGGTCTGTTGGTTCCTTGGGGAACAAGCAGATCTCTGGGTCCCCTAGAGCCCTGTGTACCATTAGAATTTGAAAGATGTACATGTTTCCTTATCTAGATGTTAATTTTAGGTCACAAAACTGCATGGCAACTTCCTGGTCTCTGCATAGTTTGTACGTGGTGATGGGCAGGTGCTTTGGGAAGATTGGGAACCTCTTGGTTTGGTGGCTTGAGGGACCCTGAAAGACCATGCACTGCACCTGGGTGGTGATTCAGGATGAGGACTTCCATAAACAGGAAGTGAGAGAGGCCTAGAGGTCCAAGCAACTAGGTGGGTGTGGCCCCACCAGGGTGAGAGTGATGTCCTCAGCTCCTAACACCACACCCACTTTGGTGTGTGTGAGGTGGTCCTAAAGTCCAGAGATCCCCAAGGAACAGCCCGCCTAGATGAGCATGGGCAGGACCCCCTCCTTCTAGTAGGGTGAGAAGAATTCACGGCCCCCACCTTTTACCTCAGGTCCAGTGCTCTTGGGGAGAAGAGAGAGATGCTGACACTGCAGAGCCTGGGGGAGAAGGGGCTGCCCAGTCCAGGCCTAACCTGGGAACAACCCCAGGTGGCAAGGCTCTCCAGGACAGGTGCGTGAGCATATGCCCAGGATGCTTCTAGCCCCTCCTTCAAGCTGTGGGTCAGTTCACACTTTTATCTCTGTGTTCCCAGGACTGGTGGAGGGTCTGCGGAAACAACTGTTGCCAGCCTGGTGTGCCTCTTTGGCTCATGGGTTCAGCCTGCTCCTGGTAGCTGTGGCCATGGGGGTCTCAGGGTGGGTCGGTGCCAGTTTCCCTACCAGTGTGAGTGTCATGTGGCTCTTCTCAAGCACCTCCAGCTTCCTGGCCTCCTTCGTTGGCTTGGAGCCACTTAAGGTGAGGGGGCTGTTGGTACGGGGCTGCTGGTCTCTGTTACTTTCTAGCCCCCCTGATGCCACCTGTGGCCCAGGTCCTGTTGGAAGCCCTCTACTTCTCACTGGTTGCCAAGAGGCTACACCCAGATGAAGATGACACCCTTGTGGAGAGCCCGGCTGTGACACCTGTGAGCGAGCGTGTGCCCCGTGTACGGCCCCCCCATGGCTTTGCACTCTTCTTAGCTAAGGAGGAAGCCCGCAAGGTCAAGAGGCTGCACAGCATGCTGAGGGTAAGTCCAGGCTGTGGCAGCCAGTGCCACTTTTTACTGCCTACCTCTTGGCAGTGTGCATGTTATGTTCCCTTTTCCTTGCACAGGCCCTTTAGGCGTGCAGGGCTCTAGAGCCCTGTGCTGCCTCCCATCCCTAGCTCCTGCCTGGCCTCAGGGGAGCCCTGTGCATGCTGTCTTGGCCTTCAGTAGATTGCATGTCTTTGTCTAGGTGGGCCCACCAGTGGGGTATCTGTGCTGCCACTCTTCAGTTTCAGGCACCCTGGCTGGCCAAGTTGCTACCCCAAAGCCCCAGAGCCCTGCCCTGTCACTATGTGCTGGGACCAGGCTAACAGTGCAAATCTTGTCTTGCAGAGCCTCCTAGTATACATGCTTTTCCTGCTGGTGACGCTGCTGGCCAACTATGGAGATGCCTCATGCCAAGGCCATGCCTATCGCCTGCAGAGTGCCATCAAGCAGGAGTTAGACAGCCAGGCCTTCCTGGCCATCACGCGGTATGGGCATGCACATGCGAGCTGGGCCAGGGTGCACTGACACCAGCCAGGGCCCACTTGTTCTTGCCCTTACTTCAGCCTAGCGCCTAGGGAACATTTGGAAATGTATGGATACATTTTTGATTGTCAGGACTGGAGTAGGTGCTATTGGTGTCTGTGGGTACTGCTAAACACCACAGTATGTGGGACAGTCCTGCGATAGAGAATTCCCTGCCCCAAACAGCAGTAGGCCAAGTTTGAGGAACTTGGGTCTAGCCTTGTCCCCTAGCATTGCTCTCTGGGCTTCTGAAGGCATCTCACTCTGGGTGGACATGGGCAGCTGAGGGCTGGAGGATGTGACTATGTGTCTGATGCAGCTCTGAGGAGTTCTGGCCATGGATGTCTCATGTGCTGCTCCCTTATGTCCATGGGAACCAGTCCAGCCCAGAGCTGGGGCCCCCACAGCTGCGGCAAGTGCGGCTACAGAATGGTAAGCTCAGGGGGTGCCCCAACACTTTTAACACTTGCTCTTTTCCAAAGAGTATCCTTTAGCTGACTTCTGTTATCTCTGCTACCTAGCCATGGGATTTTTACCTTCTTTGTGCCTCAGTTTCCTTTTCTGTAAAATGGACACAATAATGATGTCTGCTTTATGGTTGCTGGGAGGACTCAGTGAGCTACTTAGAGCAGGAGCTCAGGGCACTGCCTGGCTTTCCTGTTTCAGCTCTGGGCCCCGCAGGGGCACATACGTGCTCAGCCTCAGGAGGCTTCAGCACTGCCAACTACAGCGTTGGCTGGGCGAGTGCAGCCTACAACAGCTCGAAGACATGGGCCTATTCTGCACCTGACCTGCTAGGGTGAGCAGCGCCGCCTCGCCCCACTCCTGGATTCTGTGCAAATGAGGAGGGAAGGTTTCTTTAGGGGAGACCTCGCACCTCCGTGTAGCCTTCCCAGCCCTGCCTGTCACCCACAGCTCCTGGTATTGGGGCTACTGCACCGTGTATGATAGCGGGGGCTACGTGCAGGAGCTGAGCCTGAACTTGGAGGACAGCCTCGCTCAGCTGGGCTTTCTGCAGCTGCACAACTGGCTCGACAACAGGTGGGCGTCCCGCGGGGTTGCCCCCTGGTCGCAGAAAAGCCCACCCCTGTGAGCCCCACCTGCAGCCATAAGTCCTGGGGCTGCCTCCCTGACCCAGCCGACCTCCACCTACTCCCCCAGCCCCGCGTCTGGCTGGCTTCTCAACCCGAGCCCTCCCCACTGATACGCACCCTCCGCGTAGGAGCCGCGCCGTGTTCGTGGAACTCACACGCTACAGCCCGGCCGTAGGGCTGCACGCTGCCATCACACTGCGCTTAGAGTTCCCGGTGGCCGGCCACGCAGTCACCGGCCTCAGTGTCCGCCCCTTCGCCCTGCAGCGTCTCAGCGCAGGCCTGTCGCTGCAGCTGCTCACCTCGGTAGGCCCCGCCCAACGGTCCCGGCCCTTCCTCTCCATTGGACCCACCCCCACAGGTCCTGGGCCCAGCTCCTCCACTGAGCCTGCCCCCTTAGGCCTTGTCCCTGCACAGCCCTGATCCACCACCCCGCAGGTGTTCCTGCTGCTGTTCGCGCTTTATTTCTCGGCTGACGAAGCCAGGACCTGGCACAGGGAAGGGCGAGCGCGCGCTCTGCGGCCTGGGGCCTGGGCGCACTGGCTGCTGGTGACGCTGACTGCGGCCGCCGGGCTAGTGCGCCTGGCCCAGCTGGGCACTGCTGACTACCAATGGACCCGCTTTGTGCGCGGTCGTCCGCGCCGCTTCACCAGCTTTGATCAGGTGGCGCAACTGAGTTCCGTGGCCCGTGGCCTGGCGGCCTCTGTGCTTTTCTTGCTCCTGGTTAAGGTATGGGCAAGAAAAGGTATGGGTCTGTGGTCCAGGGCTGGGCGTGTACCCCAGGCCGCTGGGTGACACCCACCTGCCCACAGGCCACCCAACAACTGCGCTTTGTGCGCCAGTGGTCTGTTTTTGGCAAGACTCTGCGACGGGCCCTGCCGGAGTTGGCAGGGGCTACCTTTGGCCTGGCTGTACTCGGCGCCGCCTATGCCCAGCTCGCTGTTCTGGTAGGTGTTTGCTTGGGCCTCCCAGGAGGGAGCCTTAGCTGGACACACCCCTCACCCGTGCCACCTTCCCCACAGCTTGTGTCCTGTGTGGAGTCCCTTCAGAGTGCAGCTCAGGCCCTCTTGGTGCTGTGCCCAGGGGCTGGGACCCCCACTCTGTGCCAAGATGAGTCCTGGTGCTTGTCCCCTCTTTTGTGTGTGGGGCTCTGGGCTCTGCGGCTGTGGGGTGCCCTGAGGCTGGGGGCAGTTCTTCTTCGGTGGCGCTACCACACCCTGCGGGGAGAGCTCTACCGCCCAGCCTGGGAGCCACAGGACTACGAGATGGTGGAGCTGTTCTTGCGTAGGCTTCGCCTCTGGATGGGCTTCAGCAAGGTCAAGGAGGTGGGTACGGCCCAGTGGGGGGGAGAGGGACGCACCCTGGGTTCACCCAGGGTGCAGCCGGACTGACGGAGCCCCTGTGCCGCCCCCAGTTCCGCCACAAAGTCCGCTTCGAAGGGATGGAGCCACTGCCCTCCCGCTCATCCAGGGGCTCCAGGTCAGCCCCAGAGGCACCCCTGCCCAGTGCCGGCTCCCAGGCTTCACATCTTTCCACCTCCTCCAGCCAGCTGGATGGGCTGAGTGTGGGCCCTGGCCAGTTAGGGGTGAAGGCAGAGCCCGAGCCTGAGCCCTCCCGACTCCAAGCTGTATTCGAGGCCCTGCTTACCCAGTTTGACCGACTCAACCAGGCCACAGAGGATGTCTACCAGCTGGAGCAACAATTACAGAGCCTTCAGGGCCACAGGAGCAGCCAGGCCCCTGCCATGCCTTCCTGTGGCCCCTCTCTAGGCTTGCAGCCAGGCCTGCCCAGCCACCTTGCCCGGGCCTGTCAGGCCATTGATCTCGCTACTGGCACCAGTAGGGCATCCCTATGGGCCAAGAACAAGGTACACCCTAGTAGCACTTAGCCTCAGAGGACCTGGACTCATGTCTCTTTCTTGGGGCAGCACCTATAGCTTTGCTCTGGCCTATTGGAGCCAGAGTGGACACCACTCAGTATTACCTTCTGCCACCCTCAAAATCTTGGGCCAGGCAGAAAGGCTGCACACCAGTTCCCCAGAGGGCAGGCAGGGTCTGTCTGTCTGTGGGCTTCAGCACTTTACAAGAGGCTGTGTGGCTAGCTAGGACCCAGGGTTCCCTCCCCAGTCCTCTGTGGGAGGACACAGCAGTATTGGACTGAGTGCCCAGCCTCTGAGATGCTAATTTATTTCCCAAGTCCTCAGGTACAGCAGGCTGTGCCAGGCCCTACCCATGGGCTGATGTCTCCCCTCACTAAGGATCCCGGCTGCAGGGAGGGTAACCCTCACCTCCTGCTGCCCTCCCCTAAGTTATTACCTCTTATGTCTCTGCAGTGTATGCCCTTTCTGCTGCCGTCTATGTGTCTATCCATCAGTAATTTATATGGGGTTAAAATGTATGTATTTTTGTATGTCACTATTTTTCATTCATGAAGGGTCTGGTAGGTGAAGCTGGGCCCCGTGCCCACTATGAGGCAGAGCAGGGACTGCCAGGCCCTGGCTTAGCAGCTGTGGCCCATGTGGGGCAACTCCAGCTGCTTCTTGGATCCGAGTCTGGCCTTGGGCAGGTGCTAGGGCAATGTTATAGGTGTACAGCTGCCCCCCCCCCCAGTCTCCTCACTGCTGTGGCTTTGTTTCCCCCTCTTGCCTGAGGCCCTGCAGTGAGAAGGCAGCACCCAGGCCTGCTGATGTCAGGTGTGGGCAAAGAGCAGGACTATGATGTGATGAAGGACACATTCAAAGGGAAAGACCCATTCCAGGGCTGGCTCCCAGGGCTAGGGAGGGTTAATGGGTGACAATGTGAGAAACTGTATGTGTGAGGCTGAGATTGCTTCTGTGGGCATGGCCCCAGCTAGCACCTTGATCCCTCCCACAAAACGACAAAGTCAAATAAAGGAGCTGACTGCTGCCTCTGCCTCTGAGTCTGTGCGCGGGCACCATGGCATTGGTTTATTTCAGCATCAGGGACAGATACAGCTTGGGGAACAGCCATGCTCTGAGCCTCACACGAACTCTGTGAAGTCCTCCACATTGGAGATGAGGCGCTTCCGCTGGCCTGTCTCATAGGTGGGTGTGGTCTCCACCGGTGCCTGTGCTGGGGCTTTGGTGTGGGCTGGGGGATGTGTCAGGGGCAAGCTGGGATTTGAGTAGTGGGCTTCCTCGCGGATCTGAGGACAAGAGGTACTGCTCTGCTCCAGCCTGCTGATGACCCCACCTTGTTAGCCCCCACCTCTCTGGAACCCCAGCTCCCTACCCGTTGGCGGAGCCGCTTGATGTGGCGTAGCCGGGCGATCCACTTGGAGGGATAGATGTCAGTGGGGTTGGAGCGGCTGTGATGCACTTGTGAGGCCATCTGGGAAGGGGCAGGGCCATAAGCCCTCTGTGGATGGTACCTGGGTCCCAGCCCCCACCCAGCTCCAGCCTTGACTCACGTTGGCATGCAGGGCCATCTGGCGGGCCATGAAGGGCAGGTTACGATCTGACACAATCTTGGCCACGCTGGTGTCCACAAGGCCCTCCATATCTGGGAAGAGTCAAAGCTCACACCTAACTCAGGCTACACTGTCTTTTCCCACCACCCTCCCACCCAGGCCTCACCTTTCCGGCACTGCAGTGACACCAGGTTGCACTCGTAGTCCAGTGGGGTAATGATCACATGGACAAAATTGAACTGGCCCTGCCCAGATAAGAGGAAGGGTCATCCTGGCTTGAGTGTGTCCTCAGGGCCTGACTCTTCTCAGACACCAGGCTCACCAGTATATCCAAACACTGTATCTCCACTGGTGGGTTCAACCCCTCTTGGAGCCCCAACTTCCCCCTCACCTGGCCTGGTGCCAGGATGGTCTGTCCTCCCCTCTGGTGCCCACAGCCTAGATGACACCACTGATAGCATCCAGATGTCCCTCCAACCCACATACCCGAATCCCTGTTCATCCAGGGATGGCAAGGCCCTGGCTGCCCACACAGCCCACCTCAGCAGCACTGCCAACCCCTCCTCCTGAACTCTTCCCTCCTCTCTGACACATGTCGGAGCGTCTCACCATGGTGGCCATACCAGCCTTCCCGTGGGCACTCCTGCCCCCTCATGGACTGTCCAGTAGCCCTGGCATCTGTCTAGTGTTCCCCAAAGCTTCCTGGTGCACCTATAAATCCAGGTGTCCTATGAGTGCAGTAAGGATGCAGCACCGTGACATGTGGACTGATAGCCCACAATCTGCCCATGTCACCTCAATCATAGCATGTGGCCTACAAGGCCAGCCAGCTGAGGGGCCGGCAGGGGCCACCAGAAGAGTGCTGGAAGTCCAGCCCCCAGCCATATGGACTACACATCCCAAGAGTACGCACGTGTCAGTTCAGGTACTCCTGATGGAACCACCGCAAAGGGCCACAAGCTCCATTTTACAGATGAGGAAACAGGCTCAAAGAGCTAGCCTGTGCCCTGTTTCACTGGCAGCCTCTCCAGAATGAGCCACCACTATCCTCATTGCTTCAGCTCAGAGGATGACCTACAGCCCAGCAGCACTCACTTCCACGACTCAGGGTACATCAGTGGATGCCTCCCCAGATGGAGTCAGCCTCTAGCAAGCCCAGAAGCCAGGAACACAAGTGACTGAGCCTCAGGCTCTGGGTCCCAGACCACTGAGAGCTCTCGACTCACTTTGATGGTACCCAGCTTGAAGTCCTCTCCAGAATCATTGTAGACAATGGAAACAAAGTCGTTGCCCAGGTGGCGCTTCTTGTCACAGCGGTGTTTGTCCACATCCTTGGTGGGCATCAGTGTGGCGATGTGGAACACAGCTGCAGAGCAGGGTGAGGCCAGGCTGGGCTTATGGGGGTGCCAGGGCACCAGGGCACCTCCTGGCTTCTCCAGGGTCTGAGGGCCATGGAATTGCATCCTCTGGCACCCAACCAGCTCCCCAGCTCCTCTCCTAAAACCAGAGCTTCTAGGGGAAGAGCCATCAGCCCAACCACTGCCTCAACGCCCACACTCAGGACATCAGGACATCTAGGTCACCTCCAACAACCAGAGAGAGGGCATACGCCTAGGGAGGGCCCTACCATGTGCATACCCTGCATGATGTCGTCGTGCCAACAATAGGTGAATTGGCCATCCTCGCCACACACATCCAGGCCGCCTAAGTAGACCTTGTCTGGCTGGCAGTCCTTGAGCTCTATGAGCTTGCCCAGGCCTGTCAGGAACTCCGTGTATCTGTATGAGCCGTGCTCATTGGACAGGATGGCGAGCTCACTGTTACTCTAAGAAAAGAAGAGGGTGGTGCTGTGCCCAGGCCCAGCCCCACCCACCTCCTGCCTGGCACCCCAGCAGCTACGAAGGATCTGCACAGTTCCTCATTGCCAAGGTCTGGAGTGGGGATGTTGCATTGTTCCACCAAGGTCCCCAACTCGGTGCAGGACAGCGTATCCCAGCAGCTTCCCGGGGCCAGATGACTCAGTGTTACCCTCTACTCCCTCCTTCCTCTCGCACTCTGTATTTAATTGACAAATTCAGTCAGCTCTACCTTCATAACCACCCAAAGCTGGCATCACTCAGCCAGGGTCACGCTGAGACTGCTTGGAGCCACTGAGGGCTGTTGAATGCCACCTCACAAGGGGCTCTGAGGCTGCCCAAGCCCCACCCTCCCATGACCTCTCTGCCCCCACCTTTGGTCATCCCTCAAGTTCACCTGGTGCCAGCCTTCAGGTACACCATGGGCCCCAGGCCTCTGCACCTGCTGTTCTAATGTGGGGTGCCTTCACTCCCATTTCCCTCACCTCTCCCACCTAGACCACCCAACATGCAGTGCCTGCACACTGCTGCCACCTGCCCCGACCCCCCCCCCAGCCCTACTGCTCTCTGGTGTCCCTTGCTCAGAACCACACCTGGCATGGGGCACAGTGAGCACTTGATGCTGAGGCTCATGCAGTGTTCAGTTCCTAGACCCCCAACCCCGCCACAAGCAGAGGCCCACATGACCTGGTCTGTTCCCCAGGATGGCCCCAGCCAGCCTGGTAGCCTTACCTGGCCCTCTCCCACATATAGGACTGCAAGTTTGTGTGTGTCATAGGACGGGATCTGGTCGAGGAGCTGCACTGACCGCTCGAAAGACTAGAGCAAACAGATTCTTGCCTGAGCCCAGGGCAGAGGCCACCCTGCTGCCAGCCCTGCTGGGTGCTGTGCACAAGGGGGCTGTCCCCCCAGGGAGATCATGGCAAGAGCTGGCCTCTGCCCCAACCCCCATGTGGCTTGGGTGGCAGGGAGGGATATGTAGGGCAGGGGGAGCATGTAGTGGAGGGAACATAGGGAAGGGGGAGGGAACAGGGCCAGCGTGGCAGGGCAGGACAGCTCACCTCACTGGGCAACAGAATGGGCTTGTTGGACTCATCACCAAAGAAAGGAGAGTGGTACAGCTGCAGGAACACAAAGCTGCAGAAGAGATGAGGCCAGCTAGAGATGCAGGCCCAAGTCGGGGCCCAGCCAGGCAGTCAGAGACCCCGGGAGGAGAGCAGGGCTCTAGCAAGCTATGTGCTGGGTCCAGTGCACTGGACGCTCCAGCCAAGAGGGGAGAGGCCCACCTGGGGTTGATGCCTGGCACTTTCTCAGCATTGGAGGCTGCTGCTCTGCTGGTGAAGGTGTCCCTCTCTACCTTCTTGCCCCGGCGTGATGGGGCTGAGTCAGAGATGGTGTAACCCCGAGGCCGGAGGCCACTAGGTGAGCGGGGGACGCTGGAAGGCAGGGCACCCTCGGGCTGGGCTGGACCCAGGCATCGGCTCTCTTCACCTGGGACAGACCAGGCAGCACCATCCCTGTCCAGTGTCCCTGACTGTGACCGGACCTTGGCCTCAGGGCTCAGCCGGCTGACATCAGGTTTGTCCCCAGGGTCCCCAAGGATGTCTTGCAGGGTCTGCAGTTCGGGTGAGGAGCTGGACTTGCTCAGGGGCTGGGAAGGCTGGAAGGGGAGGTCCACAGAGGGCCGGCCACCCCCAGATGAGACTGCTCGCTCGATGGGAATCCCCCCAGCAGCCAGCTCTTCTGTGTGGAATGATTTCTCCTCCTGGCTGGAGGTTGAAGACGACTAGAAAGGACCATCCCAGAGAGAACTTTCATCAGGAGGTACCCTGGAACCCACCAGGGTCTTTCCTGAGATGATGAAGCCCCACCTGTACCCCTGTACCAGGCACCAAGTTGGAGTCCTCCCCATTGCTGCAAGACCTTCTTGTGCCCTATACTGAGCAGAAGGGCAGCCAGGAACCCCACAAATCAAAGTGTGCCCAGCAAGGACAGGAAATGCCCAGAAGGGCCACTGGGAAAGCCAGAGACCATCAAGAGGGTACAAGGGGGACACTCAGCCACATTTTAGATGAAAAAAGGGGCAAGATTTGCCCAAGTTCACAAAGCCAGTTAGGACAATAGGAAGCCTCCGCATAGCCTCCTGCCCTCCCCCCCAGGAGCTCTCCCAGGCTCCAGGCTCCAGGCTCAGCCAAGCTCACCCTGCTATATGCGCTGGCATGCCCACAGTGCCTGTCTGTGCCCAGAGCTGCCTCCAAGTCCTCCAATTCAGGGGGTTCCCCTGGCATGTGAGCCTCTCCAGGACTTCCCTCTTCCATAACCACAGCGGAGTCTGGGAAGACACAGACGGGACTGCTGGGTGATGGGCCAGGCCCTGGTGTTCACATGGCCTCAGAGTACCAGCCTGTTCCCTACCAGAGAGGACAGAGGCTGTCCTCCCCAAGGCTCTGCTTGCTATTGCCACTAATGAAGCAGGCTGGGAAGAAGATACTCAGAGGGGTCTGGGTGTGAGCTCTGATTGCTGTCTCCTCCACAGGCTCCTGGGGGCCAGGAGGGCAGCTGGCTCTGCTCTCCCCAGTGTCTACCCTGTGCCTCCAGTGGGGCAAGTAAGCAAGGGCAA